TGCACAGGTCTACGTGGAGCCTCAGCTGCAGGTGCACTTGCAACCTGTCTTCCACTTTCCCAGCGAACTCCTCTAGGAACGGCAGTGGACAAACTGCTCAACAAGGGGTTCAAAGCCAACCACATCTTTGAGTCCCTGGCCTAGTGCCTATCTGGGAAGCTGCCGCTGCCCCCAGGGAAGAGCTAAAGCAAAGTCCTTTGTAATGTGCCAGTTTTCAGAGCACCGAAGGCATACTCGGTTTGCTTTCTTTGTGCGGCTTCTGGACATATTTCATCGTGAACCTCCACTGTCATTCAGCTTCTGAAGACCGTGTGGTGCAGCGAGTCCCTGGTCTACGGAAGTCACCAAACATTCTCTGATGATACTCAAGGGCAGGGACTAATTATCAATCTGGATAATTTGAGTCCAGTTCTTCGACATAGGGATGAATTAATTCTTTAATCTCATGTCTTTTTCAGTTTCCAGTCTTTCCTTAAAGAACACAGAAGAATGAAGATTTGGGGAGTTGTCACACGAAGTCAGTTAGTATGAGCAGTTTGCTTATGTGAGATAGATAGGTTGGTGAGGGTCTGGTCCTTAGATTGCTGTTGGGAATGGAAGGCCATGAGGGCCAGTTTATGTCTGGACCACACGGTGCTGATATGGATATCTGGTGTGAGTTAGCTAAAACATGGGTGGCCCCAGATATCCACTATGAACCAGCCCAAAATGGCTGACGCCCAGATATGGTGTTTTGAGTGAGAAACGTCCCCCTTAGGTTCGTGCATTTGAAAACTTGGTCTTTAGTTAGTGGTGCCATTTGAGAGGTGGTGGAACTTTTGGCGTTGGAGCCTTACTGGAGGGAGTGAGTGCATCACTGGGGGTGGGATTTGGGTGTTTATTGTCTCGTCCCACTTGTTGTTCATTCTCGGCCTGCTGCTTGTGTTTGAAGAGGTGAGTTTTTGGCTTCCTGTTGTTACTATGCCTGCTGTTGCTGCTGTGCCTCCTCACCATAAGAGATAGTTACCCATCCAGAGCTGTTAGATAAGTACATTTTTCTTTCTAGAAGTTGCTTCTCTGGATGGTGTTTTATTATAGCAACAGCAAAGTAACTCATACACAGGATGTCTGGAGAACCCCAAAGTAAACAGTGATGTAATCCCTTACATAACTATTTTTGGCAGAGTGCCTCCTTTGTGTAATTCTGTATAAATATGGCCTTAGGTTAAAGGCTTGAGTCTTTGCTCTCTCCTGGCTGCTTGTGTCTGTCTGTCTGTAGCCTGCGTGCCTGCGTCAGTGCGGCCAGTGTGCTGTTCTATGTGCTTATCTATGTCTATCTGGATGTAGCCTGCATGGGCTTTGGTGCCTGGTGATGACTGCATGCTTAGTGGCCTGTGTGACAGTAAATAAAATATGTCTTATTAGTCTGTGACTCCTCGCATCTCTGCCACCTCCTTTCCTGATCCCAGAGCTTGAACCTCACACTTGTCCAGATAATTGATTTTATTTCTGATTTCACTTTCTTTCCCAATCCACAATGCTGGGTAAGAGGCAGACACAATCACACTCTTTCATTTTTTTCTCTGGCTTGACCCATTCCTGTAGTCAGCAAAGATAAAGAGCTTGTGCCTAGCTCATTAATCCACAGAGGAAGATGGCTATTTCTTTGCAGGCTCACTAATGAAAGCCTTCAAGAAGGCAAGGGCCATGAAGAGGCATTGAGGAAGCCCGCTCAATGCCCCGTTTCCAAGGGAGGCAAGTCCAGAGCAGAAAGCAGACGTGACTGATTAACTCAAGGCCCTCACAGCACAGCAGGGGCGGGGGGAGCTGACCTCTGGCCTTCAGATTCTCAGGCCAATAAGTTTACGGTGTGTTGTACTGTGTCTTGAGGCCTCTCTGAAACAGGGGCTTCAAATTAAAACATGCAGTCCTTCAGTGAAGGCAGAAAGGACACTCATTTGTTCCAAATTTTTGTTGTTGTTGTTGTTGTGCTCCTTGGGCATAACAAACCACAAGGCTGATAAGGCTGATGCTTCTCCCTTGTCTCAGGCGCTTACAGAACCAGGTGTTTCCAGAGGGCGCATGAGGCCTTGGTTCTCTTTGCTCTTTCTGTCTCGGTAGATGGTGGGAACAGACAGACAGAAAAGGAGATTTTATGAGGTGGCATGAGAGAGGGTGTAGGTAGAGAAGAGAGAATGAGGTGCAGGAGGTAAGAGGGACCGGTCATCTCTCAGATATCCTCAGAGAAAGAACTACTTGGCTGCCTTTTCTTCGGGTTTTCTCCCCCCAAATAACTGCGGTCCGCTGAGCTCTATCAGACCCTGTTCACTCTCTCAAACACAGCCTTCTGCACTCTCTAGTAAACTTGAGTTGCCATGGTGAGAGGCGGCCTGGGACAAGTCAAATGTAAAACACTGGAAACAACACCCCGACCCAGGGCAACAGACTGAAGAGTTAATTAGAAAGACCTGCCATGTGTTTCCCATTCCCTGCCCCAGGTTCGATTGCTTTATGATTTATCACCTGTTTCTCTAAGGAAAGCATGAGCCCTTGTTCTCAGCCCCTCCCCACGAATGTGTACAGAATGGTTGGGGACCGAGGAGGCAAGGAAAGAGGACAGAATGAGCAATTTCTCTGTCGTTCCTTTCGAAAGCATTCTTAGACCATCTCATGGCCCTTTCGTGTCTGTGGTTCTGATCTCCACCATCCGTCCTGTGCATCCACCTGAGGACCTCTCAGTTCCACATAACTAGACAAGTTGTGCCATACACAGCAGAACCACTCTGTTCACATGGCACTGCATCACTCAGAAAGTACCTTGTTGTTTTATTTTTGATCCATCTGTATCATAAGCCTGAGCAGAAGAAATGGCCAGAGTTACCAAACTGTTTCTTGTTTCCATGAATGGGAATATAGACCTGGTGAGAAGTCACAGCTTAACCATGCTCACCCAGTGGAGTCAGGCTTGAGGTTGAGTGTTCTGAGTTCACATCCATGGCTCAGCTGTTCTCTTTGTGGGCCTGGTGATGACAGTGGTTTGTGTACATAGAGGTCTCAGTGGGATGAATGTCTGACCGTGGATAGAAAGCTTGGGCCCCAGTCTTCTCAGTGAGAGGATAGGGGGAATGGAGAGAGGAGCTTAGACAGAGTGTAACACACAGCATAGTTAACAATACTGGGAATTGCACTTGAAGTTTGCCAAGGGTAGATCTACACATGGATAACCATGGGAGGTAATAGGTATGCTAACATATATATCAAAATACCAGGTTGAATATCTGAAATCTATAAATTCCTATTGGCCAGTTTTACTCCGATAAAGTTAAAAATTGATATAAAGAAAGAGCTTGCCTTTTTGGTCCTAACTGGGTCGACTTTTTCCCTGTTACATGCTTCACTATAGGAAAACAGACTGGGCCTGAGTTCCCAACAGGTAGATGAGGATTATCCTGCTATGGGTTAGGTGTTGACATCATCTTACAGCATGTATGTTGTGTATCTTTACCTGGGTAAATTATAAACAATAAAATTTATTGATTAGCATTGTAGAAGCTGGATGATTTAAGATAAAAGTGCCCACAGGTTAGGAGTCTGACAAGGGCTGTTGTCTGACTCATGGATGATGTCTTCTAGCTGGGTTCTTAATGGTAGGAGGGGTAGGCAGCTCCCTCCAACCTTCTACAAAAGCATTTATCTCATACATGAAGACTGAGCCTTTGAGTGCTAATCAATTTCCCCAAACACCTTTGTCTCTTAATATCATCTCATAGGCTGTTTTGGTATTAGCAACCCAAGACGGAGACATCTTTATAACATTTTATTTTACATGGTAATGTGTATTTAGAAATTATTATTTATTCTCAAGTGTGCGTGGTCACTCGGCATTAATTTTGTCGCTAACAGTTCTAAAGAAGTGGCTGTTTAAGGTGAGATAAGGATGGAGTCACTGGAGATGCAGGTGCATGGCCAGATTTTCACAGAGAGATGTTGATGAGTCAGAATTTAAGCCGACAAAATGCCAATGCCATTGCACACTTAAAAAAGTAAAACATTTCCCCCGACCTCATTCTGTTTTAGTCTTCTCCAACCACCCTCGAAGTAAGTACTAATATTATCCCTTTGATGGTGAGGAACTGTGACCAAAAGATATTAAATGATTTGTTTCATGGTTTAGCCTGTAAAGTTCAGATGCACCCAAGCTTAATCCTAAGTGATCCTGCACCATTGGCTCATTTACTGACTGAAGTGCAGAAAACTAATATGCTAATTTCTGGTGGGAGGGACTGTGGATACAGAGCTCAGGGCGGACTCTCATCTTTGCCAGGCCTTTATTTCTGCTTAGTGTCTCTATTGGTGACACCAAGCGACAGATAGAATTTTCCTTGGAACCACAGGACTGATGGTCTAGGAGCTGAGCCCTGTGTGGTGGTAGGGACACTCTGGGAGTCTTATTGCATGACTTCCTCTTTCCAGACTCCTGAGGACCCCTGCCCTCTGTTATGACAACATAACATTACCTCACACGCATGGCAATTCAACGGAGTAGGTTACCATAAACCGCATTCCAACGTGTTTTACTGGAGAGGCACCCTGGGGTCACCGTGATTGGACTTGGGGGAGATTCTGGTGTCCTTAATTGAATTTGTACAGCATCCTGTTCTCCTTGACAGAAAATGGGGGCGGGAATCCCATTCCCATCAATGGCACATTTACAGCCATCTCTGGAGTGGTTCATTTTTGCAGATGGAGAAGCTCAGACATTTTATGTTCTTATTGTTTTCAGTTTACTGACTGAATTTCTGGGACTGGACCCAATTTGAGGTTTGTAACCTCTTGTGTGTTATTATGGGGAGAGAAGTAGGGCATAATGAATGAATTTCTTGTTTTTGCCTCCGACTTAGAGTCTGGTTTCTATGCAGGATGTCTAGGTGCCACATATTTGTGCATGTGTGTCTAAGCATATATGTGTATATAAGCATACATACATTCTGAAATATGCACATTTAAAGTTAGTATACCTGAGAGCCAGAGAGCCAGACACAGGATAGGTAGCTTGCTTTGAACTCCTCTTTTTCCATACCTCATTGATCATGATAGATTCATCTTCTGCCAGTTACTTTGCTTTTGATACAGCTTCCCTGTGCCATAACAGAGATCGGATATAACAGGGCTTATATGCTAATTTATTTAACCACTATCATATACACAGAAATGAATGACAGGCACATTGCACATACTGGCTGATACAAGGCCATTTATAACTTTTTGAAGTGGACACTGTTAGTGTCCTCCTTCTATGAACCATGAAACAGGCAGATTGCCTTGTTCTGGGGGCACTGGGTCTGAATGGGGTCGGAATGGGAGGTGTGATGTGTAACCTCACTGCTTTGTTTGGGAAATTTGGGTTTTGTTTTCTATGTGCAAGAATGATTAAAAAGGAAAAGCTGTGGTATGAGAGTATCAGGGGTGGTAGAGAGATAGCAATCATTCTCCTGTGACCTAAAAACTGGAGCCATCAAAAGCTGGGTTTTGCTAACTAATATACTGGTTTTATGGGCACACACTTACAGGTATTAAAAACACTTTTATTATTAAAATTCCTGCAGGAAACATAACTTTGTAATTGTGATATTCCAGCCCTCCAGCTTCAGCTTCCCCCTCCTATGAAACAGTTACGTGCATAATGTGCTTTTTAATGACCTGTGGTTTCTTTGGAATGCATGTATCATGCCGAACTATTGCACACGGCCCTTCCTAAGTTTTGGGGGCCTCTGTCTATGCACAGAGGATGTCTGTTGCTAAGGATCCTAGGACCTGCTGTTATACCAGGCCTTGCTTGGTGGCAAATGATGGCAGATGTGTACTTACCTTGATTCAGCATGGGTGATGGACTCACTCACAGCCAGAGACAGCCTGTGAATAGCTCATGTCCTTGAGTTGTAGTTGTGACGAAGATGGCAGTGGCAGAGCTCTGAGAGGTGAAGGCTGCAAGCCATGCGTTGGAGGAAATCTAGGCTGGGTCAGTGATCAGTCACAGGCAATGAGAAAGAGGAATCGTCAATAGATATGAAGCTGTCTGCATGTTGGACTGTAAACTCCTATGGCTCAGGAATATCTGTAGCCTCAGCACTTCCCACATGGTAAGCATCTGATAACGACTTTGTCAGTTGGCAGCTGAATAAGTGATCAATGAAGAAGTGATTCAACAAAGGCCTGTGTTTTGTCTATGATCACCTGACTATTCACTAGAGAAAAAAAAAAAACCAAGTCTAAACTCTGGCTTACCTGAATGTGAAAACTTTTGGCCTCATCTCCTATTTGTAGTATCTTTTCTAGATCTTTAACTCTTTTTTGGTAGGGATTATAAAATTAAACATAGCTGACGTTGTCATTTAGTATTAAGACAGAAGGACATGTATCTGAGTGCGTTTGTCTCCTAGTGTCTTAGTCAGGGTTTCTATTGCTGTGATAAAACACCATGATCTAAAAGCACGTTGGGGAGGAAAGGGTTTGTTAGGCTTACACTTCAGCATTGCTGGTCATCACTGAAGGAAGTCAGGACAGGAACTTACACAGGGCAGGATTCTGGAGGCAGGAGCTGATGTTGCAGGGGCCATGGAGGGGAGCTGCTTACTCACTTGCTTCCCATGACTTGCTTAGCCCACCTTCTTACAGAACCAAGGACCAGTAGCTCAGGCATGGCACCGCCCACCCTGGACCCTACCTCATTGACCACTAAAGGAGAAAATGCCTTATAGCTGGATCTCAAGGAGGCATTTCCTAGCTGAGGCTCCTTCCTCTCTGATGACTCCAACTTGTGTCCAGTTGACACACAAAACCACCCAGTACACCTAGTGTCAATGCATTTTCCCCTTGTGGATCGAGTTGGGGAAAGATTGTTAAAAATTATCAGATCCTCTCGGGCTCTCAGTCTCTTCCATTGTCAAAGTGTCACGTACTGCATTCACCCATTTTTGTGCCACTGTAAGATATTTGAGACCAGATAATGTAAGATATTTGAGACCAGATAATTTATAAGGAATAGACTTATTCTTTCATGTCTAGAGAGTCCAAGGATGAGTTAGAACTGTTGTTCTGTATCATCCCACGGTAAAGGATGGAAGGATGGGAGAGAGGAGAGAAGAAGAAAGGAGAAAGGGGTGAGGTGGGGAGGGAGGACTTCTCTAAACACTCTTGCGTGAAGGAGACAGTGGTTAGCATGTACACATGGGGAGGCATGCTCTCTCCACTGCGTTCACTGTCTGGTGTCCATGCTTTCTATCCCATCTCCTAACTGGTGCCTCTACTTACCCTGCATCTGGACCAATGCAATAGTGTTCCTTGTTACCTGTGTTCTATCAGCCCCCTGAAGCAGCTTTTCTGTGTTAGCAGGGTAACCCTCGCCAAAGCATCTGTCTTTTCAGAGCCTGAGTTATTTATTTGTCAAAAGTAGATAATGTAAAACAAAAAAATGCCCTACTAATAGTGTGCAAATTTGTTGAAAATATCCGTGTGAGCCAGGCCAAACCACAGAGGCCGGGCCAGGGCAGAGGACTAGAGTGACAGAAGAGCCACACTCGGCCAAGACGACTTCCTTTTTGCACTGAGGTTGCCTCAGCTTGCAAGCAACAAGGAATGGAGGACAGGGTGAGCGCTTGCCCAAGAGCAAGTGCAAAAGCAGCAGTTCTAGCTGGGTTCAGAGAACAGAGCGGCCGAGGTTAAAGCTGACCTTGGGTAAAACTGGTCCACGGTTCCTAAGAAGTCTCCTGATGCTGGACTTCCTTCTACTTCTGGTTTCCCACTGTGCTATCTTATTTAACCAACATGATGAAGGTAGGTATAATTCTCTCCATGTTTTACAGAAATGGTAACCAATTCAAAGGTTAAGTAACAAAATCATAAAGGTTTTAAAAATTATAAAACATTGAATTTAGGATTTAGACTCAGTTTTATCTACAAGTCCACCAACTTTGAGTTGATGATATCAGACTACATACATTCTCTCTCCATGAGGCACTGGTTCCAGGACTCCCCACCGATTTCCACAACTGCCACAGTCTTAAATATCTCCTGTGGAATGGGTTGGCATTTGTATATCTGTGCATCCTCCCGTGACTTCACAGTCTCTCTAGACTGCTTACGACACCTAACACAAAGTTGGTGCTAGATGAATTGTTGTATGGTATTCCTCAGGGACACTGACAAAAGCAAAGGACTCTCCGGATGGTCAGTGTTAGGCTGTGACCAGCGGTTGACAGATAAGAACCCACAGGCAGAGGGCACTTACTGTAGCTCTTCAGGCATGATCTGTGTCTTTTCATTTTCTCTTCACACAGTGCTCTGCATATAAGAAGTTACTTAGTAATATTCTCTGATAAATGGTATCAGGTAAATAACCAATTCCTGTTTTATAGGTTATGACTTAATAAAATCAAGAGTTTGGAATGTTCTTGGCAAGTAATTATGGCCCCTGGAAAGAATATGGATGATAATGTCTTAGAGGCCTAATTCTAAGTTCAAATTCCAAGTGGGTATGCAGAAACAAAGGGGATGAGTCAGGTGGCTGATACAGGAGGATCATGAATTTAAGGCCAGCCTGGGCCACCTTTAATCATACTCTATAATACTATAATAATACTCTGTCTCAAAAAGAAAAGAAAGGAAGAGAGGGAGAGGGAGGAGAGAGAGAGAGAGAACATACGTATTTCTGTATATCTTCTGGTTTGTATTGGCATAAGCAATGCCATAAGAGGATTGAACACAAGTCTTTGTCTTAGGGGCATGTGGCTTCCACTTGAAGCACCAGCATATGTTAATAGCTGCTGTAATTTGAATGAACTTAATCCTCAAATTTGCATTATTGGTGTTTCCGAGGTAGGGCCCTTAGGAAGTAGCTAAGATTAGGTGAGGTCCTAAATGTGTGGGGTTCCAAAATAGCATTAGTGTCTTTAACATTCTTTTTCATTTTATGTAAGGATGATTTTGCCTACATGTATGTATACCGTGTGATGCCTGGTGCTTGCAGAGGTCAGAAGAAGACATTGGATCTCCTGGAACTGGAGTTAAGGATGGTTGTGAGCCATCATGTGGGTGCTGGGAACTAAATCTGGGTCTTCTGCAAGAGGGTGAAGCTCTCTTAACTGCTGAGCCAGCGCTCCAGCCCTACCCATTGGCGCCTTATTTGGCATATTTGCTTTCTCACCATGTGATGCCCTCTGCCATATTATGTGGCAAGGAGTCCCTCACCAGTAGCTGGCACCAAGCTCTTGAACCTTCTAATTTCCAGTACTATGAACTAAGTAAATATCCCTTAGGATTTACCCTGCCTATGATATTCAGTTATAGTAACAGGAGATGGACTAAGACACTATCCAGAAGGAAAACAAGTAAGGTTAATTGTGTTTATCAAAGCATCTTCTAAAAAACCAGATGCCTAAGAAATGCTGTTCTGAAAGATAGTCTTTTTTAAAAGGTCATGATTTAACAGAGATGGAAGCATTATGTAGTATAAAGTCTTAGGATGTGCATAAGACATTAAAAGCTAAGAATTCCTATAATGAAAGAGCCCCTAACAATAACAGAACTCTCTTTATCTAACCAGTGTCTCCAAATGTGTTTCATACTCATCTTTCCTCATCTCCTCTCCAGCTATGCCACTGCTCCTTCACATACCTAGGAGTGGTGGTGCCAGAGCCCACTGGGGACGTAGAAAGGAAATCAAGTACTGGCTTGAAATAAAAACTGTTCTCCTCTCCCTTTTCATGTATTCTGTTCAGAAGTCAAATGATTAGGTGTTTGTTGATTGGGTTAGCCTATTTATCTATCTCCATAAATGTTTATCAAAGGCCTGTAAAATCTAAGGCACAGTGGTACATGTACTAACTCTTGGCTTCATAAGAAAGAAAAGAGAAAAGACCCAAGCAAAGGCATGGAGTATTAGGGATCACGGCTGATTGTATCGCCAGATTCTCTAGCTCTGGGATGTTACTGATGCCCAAATGACAACAATATGTGTCTAGTCTATGATTGTTTTATAGTTCAGTATTTTATTAGAGTTTTCTTTTCATATAATTTTTTGGGGGGAATTCCAAAGAATGCTGTGAATCTGTAATGTCCTCCACAGGCTCATAGTTTCATGGTGTGTCACTGTTTTGAAAGGTCTACAGGCTTTAGGGAGTCTGGCTAGTAGAAGTAGAAGTAGGTCACTAGGTGAGGGCTTCTGAAGGTCATACCCATCCTTAGTCTGGCCTGTATTCGCTCCTTCCTGTCTTCCACACTGTGAACAGGTCAGTGTTTGATGTTCCTGCTGCCATAGAGGCCAGAGTGGCCCTTGGCACCAAGCTTCCCCATCACGGTGAACTAAAATCTCTCTGAAACCATGAGCTCAAGTAAACCTTTTTTCCATTTTTCCATTCTGTTAAAAAAGTTCTTATCCATAACTGCTTAGTCCTCCCAATCTAACTGGACAACTCTGGTGATTTGCCAGACTCTTGGTCACTCTGACATCTGTTGGTCACTTCTCCAGGCTGTTGTCCTGCATTTTGCCCAGAACAAATAAAGTTCAGTTATACCACAGCTAAAATAATTAGGAAAAGGGAAAAATAAGTTTTAGGTCAACAATTCCACAGTTATAGTCCTGCCACATATCCCAGCAGAGGAAGGTTGGTACCTTAAAACACAGAAGTTGATTGTAACCTTCAAATGACAGTTTTTCACTGGAGAACATCTGTGCTCTGACCTCTAGCAGGTGGTCTGTTAAGTACAGAGAAGACACTGCAGGCATTTGGAATTGAAGAGTTTTTTTTTTTTTGTAGTAAGTAAGCAACACACTTCCTGGGCTCTGCTGGTGTTTACAGAAGCAGCCATGATCAGCATGGCCGCGCTGATGCAGAGTATATGCTGAAAGAGCATTTCCAGAGGTTCTTGGCGAGAAATAATAATTTCTGTTGCTTGAAACTTCCTAACTTTCAGGGCACATGGAGAAGAGTGATTGTGGATAGTTATGGACATAGTCATATATAAACATGCCATATTGGGGCAAGATCTAAAAGGAAAGCCTAGTTTGTAAATAGTATGGCTGTCAGCTCAATTCTTCCAAAATCAAGAGCTGGTCTTGAAGATAACTATTTTGAGAGTGATTCCAATGAATAAGAGTTTGCTGTGGGAGCTCCTTC